AACCGATCATCGGGCACGGCTATTGCCGTGAAATGCTTTTCAACTTCATCTAACCAATCGTCCGCCACCAACGGGTCTGGACCTCCCTCAAATGCTACTTCATGAGTTTGTTAAACTGGAGTAGGTACCCAAGATTCCGCTCCATCTCCGCTCCCTGTGGCTGAATAGCCGGTTGTGGTACCACTTAAGGAGCTATGGTACTCGCTAAATTCTGAATGGCTGAAGCTATAGCCCTTGTTACTAAAACTTCATCCTTCAGTACTTGTGGATCATCATCCACCTCTCTTTCTCGGCCTTATCCCATTAAAACCCTATCTGGTTGGGATGGCCCTTCACCTGCTCGTTCCCCAACTTCATCCGGGTCCATCTCTTTACGTCGTCCTCAAACGCGGTTCTACAAAAGCAATTATATGATAAAAAAAAAAAAACATGAAATAGCTCAATTCACGAGCTATGGTGCTCATATTATCCGTTCAATAAGAATGAAACATTTATAAATGTAGGAATGATCAAGTCCATCATATACGTGGGTCAAAACCCTTCATAACCCCACACACAGCACTGCCGTGAACACTTAAACCCGTCAACAACGAAACAAACAAGTCATGTATACATCTATTAAGCAATGACTCAATAAACAGTAAACAAGTAAGCACTTAATAATCATGGCAATGAAATGCACATACAAGCATTTAAACATATATGCATATAGCAATTAAGCATACTTTAAACAAATTTAACCATTTCATTAATAATACTAAAAAAAATTCAAGTAAACATCTAGTAAATAGGCATGCTTTCACATTCATTAAACAACAACTTAATAAAAATAAACACATTATCATTTAACATGTTTAAATTTAATCACCATTTTATAAGTCTCATAATCGATTCACAAGTAAACACATAATAACAAGTCGTGCTTTTTAACTAGATAAACAATAACTACATAAACATGCAATACTATTAATCCAAACTCTAAGTCAACTTGGGTCAACCCTACCCGTCGTCCTTAGGTTTTCGAATCTAATGCTCTGTTACCAAATTTGTAATGACCCGAACTCAGGGGTCCGAACCGTATCCGGGTTCTTACTCGAACCCGAGGTCATCTACTGCCTCTACAGTCATTCCCAATTATAAGCTACAAGGGAACACATCATACCAAATCTGAAAAGGAAATACAAATTCTATGTTTCTAATGTCCTCTAAGTTTCGAACTCTTTTATGAGCCATATTAAAGGCTAACCTTGTCCCACAACAGTCACCACATGCATCTATAATGGTAATATCATGATTACACACATGGACGAAAAACCGAAAGTCCATTTACATGATACATTACATCCGACCACAGTCCGTGAACATAAGTTTACAAAAGAGATACAAAACCAGTTTAAAGTTTTACAAGACTTGTATATACAACAGAAAATTTACACAGGAAAGTTCGTCAAGTCCTATCTAAGCCTATGGGAAATGTCTTTCACCACTTCCTTTCCGTGTCCTGAAAAATATTAGTAAGGAGTGAGTACAACGGCTCAGTAGAAAATGCCTAAAACACACTCCTTAATGCTTCCGGGAATCCAAGCATAAAATAGCAACAAGGAAAGGGGTTCATACTTGTTCGGGAAGTAATGACCATTACATAATGCAATCTTGTAAATGAAATTTCCAAAATTTCAGTTATTGCTTTCATTTAAAAAAAAATACACTCTCTTCCTAAAAAAAAAATCTGGTTTTGCCCCATGTAGTACCCAATATGATGCATGAATAACACACTTCAAAATCTTATAATGTCATGGCATCTCCACATCAAATTTCAGTTCTATAAATTATAATTAATGGAAAATCAATATGGCAGTTTTGAAAACCGCAATAACATAATTATTCATGCTGTAAAGTCTAGGCACCAATTCAGAATTTGAACAACAACAATAACAAGCTTGTAACAAAATGGTTCCATAAATGAGGCAATTTAAACATATAAATTTCAGCTTGCAAACACAAAACATATCTATGAAAATTACTTAAATTTACCTTCTTTTTATTTTATATTTTTTATTTATTTTACTTACAACACAATCGGCATTTAGAAAGCTTGTATTTCAGTTTCTAAACACATATTATGCACCATTAAGGAAGCTATAAGTCTCAGTTTTTGAGCAACACCGTCAACTATAATCCTTACAACAAAATAGCCCCACATATGAGGTAAGTTCAAAATAGAATTTTAGTATTTTTTTTTTTTTTCAGCAACAACCCAATCAAATTAATTACTAAAATTTTAATTTATATACACAAACATAATCAACATTTAGGGGAGCTCAAATACAATTTCTAAGTACATAATACCCACCATCATAGGAGCTAAAATTTTCAGTTTTTGAGCCCAACAACAACAACAATCCTTACCTTAAAACAAAACACAATCATGCTAATTATTAAAGTTTCAGTTTTTATGTACACGACAAAATCAACATTTAGGGGAGCTCACTATCTCAGTTTCTAAGTACATATCACACACTATTATTGAAGCTACGAATTTCAGATTTGGAACTTCACAAAACATGCTTGAAATAAAGACTAAATTCTATACAAGTTGGTAACTCAAATTCAAAGAATTAATTCACCAAAAACAAAGGTTGTAGGCTTTAGGAAACCCCCACCTCAATATAGAAGAAAACCCCAAATTACACCCAATTCAGCCCCTAAATTAAAAAACCCTAGGATGTCCAAATCAAGATCAGCTCTGAGCAAAACGTAGTCCTCAACGAGCTCATCAACTTTGCCTTTAATGGCAAAGTTGAAATCCAATTGAAAAATGATGAAATCAAGCTTTATAATTTGTGATTTGGTGAGGGAATAGAGAGAGAAAGGGGCTGCGTGATGGAGGAAAAGAAATGGCCAAAATGTGGTATGTGATGATATAAATCACACTTAGTGCTATGTGGGGCCCACATAAAAATTATCATCTTTTACCAATACATATATATATATATATATATATATATATATATATATATATATATAAACACAAAAAACAAAAAATCAGAAATATTACAGAAATAGTGAAAATTTTAGAAAATAAAAAGAGAGGAAGAAGAGAGGAAAATAAAGACGGTGAATTGACTCCCTTTTATTGGGGACTTTAGCCTGTATTTATAGTGTACAAAGAACTCTAATGGAGTTTCCCTAGGACTCTTCTTACTATACAAATTGTTTCCTTATGGGACATTTTTTTCTTTCCACACTGACTTCGTAGCCATGCTAGCCAAGATTTGAGTCTGGGCATGCTGAATGGGCTTTGTTACTTTTTCCAGGCCCATTTGGTACACTGGGTCGGATCGAACATATTATCTTTTTACTAAGGGAACCAACCCTGATAAGTGGGCTTTTTGCGTTGGGCTCATCTCCATAGGCTTGCTCCTAGACTTAATGACATGCACATGGAGCCCTATTAAAATTTCCCTGAACAATGACATTTTAAAACTAACTATTATATTTTTCAAACTTACAACACTTTTTTTTATCAAATATATTTTCTTGTTTTTTACTTCTAAAAATCTTACAACAAATACACATTTACCAAACATGTTTTATTTAAAACGCTCTAACAACAAAACACTAAAACAAAACGAGTACCAGAGAGGCCTTAAAATTACACTCCTGTCAAACAATTTTTCTAAATATCAAAAAACAAGATTGTCCTGTGTACGGGTTTAATTGAGTAGGCATGGCTAGGCGTACATTGTGTCCAGTGGCGGAGGCAGCATGTGCCCGGGGCTAGGCGTAATTTGTAAATATTTATAGAAAACTCTCATAAAATTTATAAATTATCCCCATAAAATTATCTATTTCTAAAAATATATTTAATTCTTTATTCCTTTTCCTTCTTATTCTTCAAATTTCTTTTTGTCATCTTCAAAAACTTTTGCATTCTCTTTCTACAATTAAAATCTATTTTTCCTTCAAAATTCTCTCATATTTTTTTCTTTTTATTTCATTTTCTTCTTAAAAAATTCACTTTTCTTCTTAAAAATTTATTTTTTCTTTCACTCATGCATAATTTATGTACAATAACCTTTCTTTTTTTTTTTTTTTTTTTTTTTATCTTCTTATTCATTTTTTATTCACTTATTCAAATACACTGCTGTTACACTATTATATTTTCGGCCTACGTAAAAAAAATTATTTTGTCAGTGTTAGCATGCCTCCCTAAACCAAATTCCTGACTCCGTCCCAAATTGTGTCTGACATTTTATGTAGGGACATTATCAAAGGGAGATCAAATGTTTAGAAGTAAATATTTTGGGTGTCTGTTCAAAACATCATCATCATCATCATCATCATCATCATCATAGTTACGATTGTTTTTTAATCCTGGAGACAAAGCTAGTGTGAAGTCTAGTATCATTGAGAAAATTATTGTGGATTTGGGCTTCCGATCCATACCATGATTCGAGCGACAATGATGTAGAATGAACGTTACCATGCTCCTCCATGTGTCAAACATCAACGTTTTCATCGTCAGGTGATATTGGGTTCGATGGTCTAGAGTGAGTTGGAATTGAATTTTGGGCCTCCGTGTTGTTTTAAAAGATTGGGTTATGACTATGCGAGTCAGGCTAAATTAGGTTTTCGAAACTGGGTTTGAAGAGTACAAAGGGTTTTGTCTTTGCTGTATAAGTGAATCAAGGTTGGATAAAACACCACTAAATGGGCTTTGAGTACACGTTGGCAGCTATGACTTTGAGGTGGGTGTCCTTTTCGGGTTATTTGGCATCTTCTTCTACCGACGCCGTTTTGGGGCTGGGACTGCCTTGTACCCAAAGTAAATTGCCCACGCAACACAGATTCCCACCATGCATATATATTTAAATTGGGATGGAGCCCACCTGTAAGAAAAAATTTCTGTCTTAATATCGTTAGAGTTGGTAGCTTGGTGTACATGGGTTGGTGGGGGTGGAAGGAGGTCTTTTACTCAGTCAATTGACCCCCCATTTCCATCCCCTCTCTCTCTTCTTCTTTTCTCATTGCTGTGAAAATTAGGGTTTCCAATTTTTCTCTCGTTGAATCCAAATTTTCCCTGCAATGAGTTTCCGGTTTAGCAAAACAAAGAAACAGCATCGGTCTTCACATGTCTCGCCGGATCTGAGCTCGGAGGAGTCTAATCTGATCAGCTCCTACGTGTCTGACTGTCAAGACGATGCATTTATTCGGTCACTCTGTTCGACTGTCCAAGAACGCACCAACCAAGTCATCAGGAAAGTGTGCGCAGGGCCCGGGGATCGGTCACTCTCTGTGGACGCAGTGAAAGAGTTCACCGGCTACTTGACCACAACGAATCAAGAAGTCGTCAAACTCCTTCACGAATACAGAGATGACATACTGAAGAACGATGATTTGTATGGTGTTGTGAAGGACTACTTCGAGAACAGTTATCTGACTTTGAAGCTCTGCAATGCTCTGGAGAAATGTCTCGACAGTGCCCGAGACAGCCAACTGAAGATTCAAGTCGCCGTCGAGCTGTTTGAGAAAGAAAGGAGGAAAGGGTTGGATGCGGACAGGGAAATCTATTTTAGGACCCGAAAGGAATTCAAGAACTGCAAGACTACTATAGGTAACCCATTTACCAAAGAATTTTCCTCGTTTTTACAACATGTTTATGAAAGCCAATGTTCAATGCTAGATAAATTGCAAGCTAAGAAAATTTTGCTTGATAAGAAGTTGAAGAAACTCAAGGGTTGGAGGACTGTGTCGAATGCAATTTTGGTTTTGAGTTTTTCTTCCATTTTGATTTGTGCTGTTGTATCGACGGCGATTACTGCACCGCCAGCGGTGGCCGTGGTGGCGGCTGTGTCTGCGTTGCCGTTGGGGTCAATGGCTCAGTGGATTAATTCCCTTTGGGAGAATTATGTGAAGAAGCTGAAAAAAGAGAGCGAGATAATGAGTTCCTTAGATTTTTGGGCTCATATTGCGAAATTTGAGATGGAAAACATTGTACTACTTATCGATACATTGGACACTGAAATTGAGTCACTGTTGAAGAATGCTGATTTTGCTCTTAAAGAAAAAGCGGCTGTGACGAGGGCCATAGTTGAGATAAAAAAGAAGCTGCGCGAGTTTACACAAACCATTGAAGATCTGAGTAAACATACCAAGAAGTGTAGCGCTGATATAATGACTGGGAGGGGAAAGATCTTGGAGACTATTATCAAACAGCGCAACAAATGAAATGACACCTACTTTTGGTATGTATATGTATGTGTATATATATATATGTGTGTGTGTATGTATTGCTCTTATGATTAATTTACACAATGTATGTGACTTATAGCGTGAGTTTGATTTGTGAGCTAGACTGTGCATATTCTCAATTTCTCCTTTTATCAGACAATATCATTACTTGCCAGCTTTAGTAGAATATTTCACATGCTTCATTTAATTATTAAATAAATGGGCTTGATAGAATATTGGTAAGCATGTGGAATCTTGGATGGATTCATTTTGGGAAAACAAAACTATGTTAAAATATGATCAAACTTTTATCATTTCAAGAAACCGGATGGCCTAGTGGATGTAGATTCTTGCATTAAAATTTTACATTGAAAGTATTCTTGTATTAAAAAAAAAAAAAAAAAAAAAAAAAAAAAAAAAAAAAAAAATTCATTAAAATGCTATGTGAAAAAAAGGTAATAAGCCCATCTATTTTCGAAGGGATGTGTATATATATATGTATATATATACTGATTAGTGTCTTAGGCAACTTAGGTCAGTCACCGATAAGAAAACCCCTAAAATTATATATATATATATATTATTATTACACTTTCTAAATTTTTATTTCTTTATTTTATTATAGCCAACCAATAATAGAGATTTGATAGTGGGCAAATAATTTAATTAATTCTAAAAAAATTCATTTCATTAAAACTCCTAATTTTTATCCTTATCTCATATATTTTTTCCGTCTCCTCATTTCACATTTTTTCTACACCAATCGTATTAATTATTGAGTATATATCTAACCCATAATTGTGTGAATGGATAAAACTTTTTCTATGCTCACTTTTTTTTCCTATAGGAATGGTTAGGGGTGGCAAATTACGATACGCCCGTCAACCTAACTCGAACACGACACGAGATAAGTAAATCTAGGTTGACCTTAAACGGGTTCAGGTCATAAACGGGTTGATACGATTAAGCCGTTTACTTAATCGTGTCGGGTTAGGGTTTATGGGTTCAACCCGTTTAACTTAATATATCATAATCGTAAATATGACCTATGTAATATGTTACCTGTTTAAACTCAATTATAATGGACAGTTAAGTAATTTCAACATAAACCTTCACCATGCCTTATGATTTTTCTTCTTATTTTGAAAATTTGGGGTAATTGTGACCAAAATTTTATAGTATTCATTATTTATTTGAATATTAAATATCTCGATTTGATAAACAGGTTATTAAACGGGTTAACACGTCAATCCATTTAATAATAGGTTGGGTTGGTGTTGAGGGTTGCTAACAAGTATGACTATTAAATGGATTGGATTTGGGTTTACTTATTTAGTAGAATATCCTTACATCAACAAGACACGATTATAACTCACGAATATAAATTGTCACCCATAAGAATGGTATATGACTTAAATGAACCCATGAAAATTTGTAAAATTAGATGAGGATTGATGGTTTTATTTGATGAATTCAGTGTGTTTTTTTTTTGGGTAAATAAATTAATATTTTTTTGGTAAATTTGATGAATTCAGTGTTGTATTTTTTGCTCATATATAACATGGTTGATTGTATTAAATTGATGTATTTCGTGAAGGATTTGAAGAAAGTATGTAGACCGCAAGCCAGTTACAGGAAAGCCCGCTCCCAGCTTAGGGTGTGTTGGGAAGAGTCTGGTTCACCCCAAGCCCATTTTTAATCTCATTTTGGCCCATTTGGCCATTTCGATGAGTCTGGTTACCCCAAACCCACCCAATTTATCTATAGCCTTCTTAACTTGATTAAAAAAAAAACCAAAAGAAAACCTAAATTGAACTTCATTAATTCCAACCATCATAACATCTTTGACCAACCCCAAACCGATCGAATTTATCTAGAGCCTTTATCTAGCTTAACATATTTTCTAGATATGGCGTTAAAAAAAATAAAAAATAAAATAAATTTCTAGATATGACGCTCATCTGTCCAAGTTCAGTCACTATTAAAAATAGGAACATCTAACAAGGAAGCCTTGAGTAATCTTTTTCCTCCCAACTTCTCACTGTAATCTCTCACAAAGTTCCAATCTTCTAAAGTTAACCAATGACCCTGAATCATAGTAGGATACCTAGCAATGGAGCACCATAAGTCCTTATCTCCCCAACTGTGTTTGTAGCATAAATACTGGCCAGAGGAATCCAATAATGGGACATTAAGCCTTCCAAGATCCCATACAACCTATTTTGCCAAGAGGATTACAATTATAGTTATCTCTTCATCTCTATCATGCATTTATTCTTTCAGTAATTAAATTAAACTTAGTTACTTTAACTTTACTCTCAAATAAGAACACCATACCTAGAGAATTAGAAAGAAGCCAATTCCTAGCCTTCTTTTGCAAATGGGATCTATTCAAACCTCCCATGTTCCAGCAACCTAACATCGAACAGAAATAGAAGCCTGTGTTGAATCTTGAGGTTATGCATGAAAGGTATTTGATAAAATGTCTTCGAAGGAGGAATGTTATAAAATGATTACGATTTTTTTACCAAATAGTCCTGTTAAGTTTTACTTACCCAAGCTTGGTATGTTAAACATGGTTTTGTTGGGGTGTGGGTTATATTAGCTAGTGCTTTTATTCTTTGCTTCATGTAAGGAGTTTCAAGCAAATGAGAAATTGGGGAGTTTTGGGAGATGAACACAAACTTGAAGTCTTATATTATAGAGATTTGATGAGTAGACATTCTTTGAAATGTTGGTATGTGTAGGTATACTTGGAAAAATGGTATATGGAGATTGATGGGTAATCTTGTTTGAAAATTTATTACATGTTAATATACTTGGGAGATTGATTCATGAATATGTGTTATCAAATAGAAGTTAAATGTCAATTTGGAAGTTTGTGCATACTTGGTGTTTGACTAAATGTCTCAAGGGAAAATTCTATAAATCGGTTAATGAGTTCGCTGAACCTTTTCATAAGTTCGCTGAACCTTTTCATACTTTATTGAACATGGTTTAGGGGGTTTGAATTTTTTTCAAGTGGTCTAATTTGTCATTGATTTTATAAGGAAAGGTTGAGACAAGAAAATCTTTGTGGTTTCTCAAACATGACATAAAGTTGTTGAAAAACTTATATGAATTCACATTAGATATGTGGAAAGAATACTAGAATTGTAAAATTGATTGACCTCTTAATTGGGAAAATTCCATGACATGGAATGAATTGTTTTGGGGTGGGAATGATGTATGTTTGGGATGAATGTTTTGACCAACAAATGGGCATATGTTATATATAATATGAAATTATTATGGCATATAGTGAATGCAATATAAGGTAGGGGCATACTAACCTTGATTTACAATTTTCCCTTTTTCCTTGTGTTCTATGTACATGAGCATGCTTTATATTGACAGAATATTATATATTTATTGTTTATGTGCTAGAGTTGTAGTGTAGTTGTGATGATCTTGTGCAAACTGTGATATTTTATGTTCTAATGCATGAACTGGTGGGAATATAAATGTATTAGTTATAGCATGCTTGTAAATTGTGTATACACATGATGCTTGAAAAAATTTGCTTAGATGAGAATTCATGTTGAAAATGAATGAAAAAGCATGATTATAAATTGCTGTTGAGTAAGATATGATTGGGTGACGGGGTTGTGCCGGAAAAGCCAAGGTAAGACCCAGAGTCCTTGGGTTAGAGATCCTAACTTGGCCAAGTGGTGCTTGATTCCATCAGGTTAGTAGCCTATAAAACTAACATGTGTGTTACGTGGCTTGCTATGAGCAAGTGCATGAAATTATGGACAATGCCCGGAATAGTTTGAATGAAAAGTTGTTCATTCTTTGGAAATGTTTTTAATTGAAATGAGATTCATACTTTACGGAAGATTTATATGGAACATGATTCATGTCCTTATAAAGATTGGAAATGCTAATTGTATAGCATGACATTTATTATGTGTAATGTTCTTGAGTATACCATGTTCGCACTATTACATCTGCTTGTGGCATTTTGCCTAAATATCATGCATCCTATGCTTATTTGTTAATTGATAATATTGGCAAATGTATGTTATACGTCTACCTACTGGCTGTGTTTCTCACTCCTACTATTTTGAAGATAAAAATCTAGAAGAATAGCCATGAAAGGACTTGGAGTTGTAGGGAGTTAATACTTGTAGTGACCCTTTTATGTGTGAAAGATTATGAGTCTATATATGAATAACTTATTTGAAATATGTATAAGTTAAGTTATTTTGGTAGTGCATGTATGAACTTATTACCCTTGGTCATAACAGGTGTTAGCTTAATTACTTGTACTCACTTGAAATGTTAAAATTGTTTTTAGCGTCTTTAGAAAGACCTCCTGTAGTACAGTCCAGTTTTGAGGCTTATTGCTCCTTTAATATTTTGAATAATTTTGTTAGACTTGTATGTTTGGAAAGGTATTGTCTTGGCTTTAATTTGATATTCCAGGGGTCTAGGTTGGGCGTAAATTGAATTAGTTATTCAGGTTTTATTCCAGGTGTACAGAATCTGACTTTTGTGTCTTAATTTGTGTTATAACTAGAGTTGTACTTTGAGTTTTTTGATGGTTGTAGTGGGATTTGAAAGTAGATTCACGGTACAACTGACCTGGAAAGTTTCAGAGTAAAATATTTTATGCTTTGAGAGAATTAGAATTTCGAACAGGACTGAATTGCAGTCTGAAAGTGCTGTTAATTCAGCAACATTGACCCAACTTTGAAAAATCGTAACTTACTCATTTTAAATCCAAATTGGGTGAGATTTGCATCCAAATTGAATGTTTTGAAGTCTACGTTTCATCTAGATTGGTTTCATTTAAAAATTCCAACCACACTGGGAGTTATTAACTCAAATTGTAAGGTGGTTAGTAAGGTGATCCATGGGAGATCCCTAAGATTTTCTGATAGACTTACCTAATGTCCATTAATGCTAATTTCTTCAAAACCAGATGATCATAAACCATAGTTGGAATAGAAATTTAATTTTACTTTGCACACTCCATCATTTTTAAATGAGAGAAAGTGAAAGAAATAGTTTATGTCTAAAGAATATTTGTGTTCATCGCCTCATTTTCTATTTCC